TTCATATTCATTATCATCATTAAAATCTTTGGTATTATTTGAACTTTTAAATTCTTTTCTTTCTACGCAATACAAATTTTTAGTATTATGCAGTTCCAAGTGTCTAGAATCAACTTGGAAAGTACTACACTCTACATTATGAGTCTGAAAGCTGGATCGTATTTTGCAAATTGAGTCTAAAGAAGTGATACTAATAGAATTCCTCTTTTTATTCTTGACATCAGTGACGATGGAAAAAATCCTCTCTGCTTCAGCATTAGAATGTGGAAGAGATAAAACGCCATGTACTAATTTTTCTAAATTTGGAAAGAACGGTTCATTATTACAATTTTTTTTCTCAAAAATAGTGTTCCACATTTCAAGAATTTCGAAATTGGCTAAAACAATTTTATTCGCGTCATCAAATTGTGAAGGTAAAATTTGCCATTCATTACATAAAGTCGTAATATCAGATATACCGAAACGTTTTGCTACATTCGTTAAATTTGGAAATAAGACTCTATTTTCCTCATGCAAAGCTATTTCGGGATCTAAAAATTTTAATTCGCGCAAGATTTCATCATTGTATGGAAAACGATGTAGCATTTCTTGCATCGCGGTAATATAAAATTGTAGACAATTCGACTTTATTTCTATATAAAAATCTGGACATTCTGCTAAGAGAAATGACTCACAGTCTGAACCAACATTGATACAATTAACTGGTAAAAAGTTTTCCGGATTTAAAATATTATCAGAAATATTATTTAAAACATTACATATCAAAAAATTTTTTCCTATCTGTTTCATTAACTGCTCACAATTTTCAGCAATTTTATAAATTAAGATTTGTCTCGACTGATGCAAAGCATTAAAACTATTAAAAAAAGTTAAAGAATACTTCAAAAACAACATGTATGCTTTAATAATTTTATTGTTTAAAGAATTAGAAATTAAATGTGCCGAGTTATTTTTATGTTCAAAAGATTCCAGGTTGAAGTAATGTTTCAAAACTTCCCAATTATCGAGAAGTCTCTCAACACACTTTTGTAAGACGGACCATCTTGTACCTGATAATTTCAAAATTTTTCTTGATGCTACTCCAAAAAATGTTTGAAACTCATACAGAATAGCTGATCTTTTAGCACTGCCAGAAAAATATGTAGCAACTGCATGTAAAAGATTTTCACAAGAATCCGGCAATTTTGCACAAGCTTTACTTGCGATAAGAGCTGAGGAATGGCATATACACTTTAATACAATGAGGGCCGGTACCTCTTTCTTTAATCTACTCTTGAAAGAATTATTATCACCTATCATAACTGAAGCATTATCAGAAGCCATTCCTACAATATTCGACATTGGTATCCTCTTACTTTTAAAACACTGTTCAAACGCAGAATATAATTTTTCTGCGGAACAATCTGTTGCATCTAAAGAAACTAATTCTAATAACATGATGAAAGTACAAGTATTACAAATGATAAAATGCTTTGCATTTTA